ATAACTAAGCAAGCTCAAGGCCACCATGTAGCATACTTCTGTTTTGTCCCCACATGAGAAAGGCCGCTTTTGATACATATATTTTATATGAATTGCCAGAGAATGTGCTGCCCTCTGCAGAAGTAGGTGGCGTACAATTCAGTAGCTAAGGCTGCATTTCTTTCTTTTCAATCATTTTGTTTTTTATGTTTTATTCATTTTGTGTTCTGTGGTGTAGGTGTGCCACAGGGCACTTAGGGGGGTCAGAGGACAACTAGTGGGAGTTGGTTCTCTTCTACCATGTAGGTTCTGGGGATTAAACTCAGGTCAGCAGGTACCCTTTTCCACTGAGCCATCTTGCCAGCTCCAAGGCTGCATTTCTTTGTGCAAAATCCTTGCCTTTTGTTTTCATTGGTATAGTTCCTCATTGCCTGGCTGATCCATTTTGATGTGCTACAGCTGGGTTATAGTTCATTTTGGGGCCTCAGGACTGCTGAAAAGGGTGTTCTAAGTACAAGAATGGTTGTTTCTTTGATCATGTACACAGCCTCATTGGTGTAGGCATTCTTTTACTGTCTCTGTGTAAGGTCCCTAGAAAAATTGGGGTGTCCTAACCAAGGAGATAGGTAGATAAATACACCAATGTGTGTGTTCTTGTCTGTCTGTCTGTCTGTCTGTTTTTCTCTGTGTCCGTGTTTTATGTCTTTGTGTCATCTGTGTCTGTGTATTTGTGTCTATGTTTCTTTCTACATGTAGTCTGACGTATGTAATATGCATGGTATTACATTTATGAATACACGTGCTAACTCCTGGATGAAAATTTATTAGAAGCTCTATGGCAAAAAGATCAAAATAAGTCTTGCTTCTGTTCATAGCTCCCAACCACCCAATACAGTGATTGAGGAATCAAAGTGAAACCTGTTTAGTGGCCATTCACAGGCTTAAATATCTTTTGAAAAGTGTTTAATTACTTTTATTTTATGTGTATGAATGTATTGTCTGCATGCATGTAAGCTCTTGTGTCATGCAGTGCTCTCAGAGGTCAGAAGAGGGTGTTTGATCCCCTGGAGCTGGAGTTAGCTGCCATGTGGGTGCTGAAAACTCAACCTAGGTCCTCTGCAAGAGCAGCCAGTGCGCTTAACCACTGAGACAGGCTTTATTATCTTAAGAGTGAGGATCTCATGCTTCTCTCATTGACATCATAAATGTCTTTAAATACTTATTTTGCCTTTCTCACTCACCTACCACCATTGTAAAATGATATCTCATTAAAAACCATTGCATGTGACTTCATATTAATTTTGATTATGTGGGACATATATTTTTCAAAATCTAATGCAAAGTGCCGAAGAATACAGACTTAAATGGGTTAATTTTTGCCATTATATACTTTGAAGTATCATCCAAAATCCCTTTCCTTATGGAAATTATAATATGCATACTCTGATCGAGAAGTATTTCATTACAAGTCATTTGTCTTAGGGCAGAGTATGTGTTAAACCTTAAGTATTCTACTATTTTCTGTGAGAAGAGATTTTTATTTCGAAGATCTCACATTTTGTCTGACTGCTGACAGAATTTAAGGTTCAAGTTTCATGCAAACATAAATATGAATATCTGTGGATTAGATAAAATGATGCATCAGGAGTTGCTTCTAAGCTGTATGGTGACATTTCATCAATTTTAAGAACCTATATTTTTAGGCTTAACAGTCAACATAATTCAAAAACTAGATTTTGAACTGTGGAGAATGATGTCCAATTCTTGCTTGTCTTTAGCAGTGTATTTTCATGTATTAAGGTTATTACATGAAGATTTGGTTTGTATAAATATATGAATATTTGAATTTAGATTCACATTTATTTGAACTTTAGTACTAAAGAACCAAAAGGAAACAAAACCAAAGCTTCATGTTCTTCTGTTCCCATCATGGAGAAATGTGAAAACAGGCCACGTGGCCATTCATCCTTTTCTCTTTTCTGTCATGTAGTAACTGTCTCAGGTTGAGGGCATGTAGGTGGAGCTCAGAGGACAAGTTCCACCTTGTTACTTTGACATGGGCTCAGTGTTCGTTCTGGCCAAGGTCATCAGGCTTGTACAGCAAGTACCTTTACCCGCTGAATCATTTTATTGACCATCTGGAAAATTTATTCGTAATCCCAGTTTTCAAAAATGAATTATTAAAGTGAGTCCAGTAAAAGAATTCCTGAAGTTAATTAAGAATGTGAACATAGACACGTTTTTAACAACTTTAGAAATAAGTTGTTAAAACAACTTGAGTTATATCCTTGAATGTATTTAAAAACTATTTGAATTACTTAAGTAAGTTTTAAAGTGAGTAAAATGACGGAATTTTTAAATGAATCTATCTTTACATGCCAGTAGGTATTAGGGGTTTATATGCAACTTAACAGTTAGGGGTTTATATGCAGCTTAACAGTTAGGTGATATAAGCCCAACCCAAATCTCAAGAGATGTATACTCCTGGCACCATATTCTCACATATTTGACTCTAAGAACTTGATCCTGTTTCTTTTGGGCCATTAAGGGTCTCTGAGAGGCCAAATCAGGTCTAGTGCCACCGATGGGTCCTGGTTCCTTTCTCCTTCTTCTCTACGAAGACAATTTGTCCCCCTAGTTCATCCTGGCCTGGACCATAGCAGGATTTCCCAAGGAGTCACTGTGGCTATAAGTATGAAGTTTAAATCTTGACCAAAGAAATCTCCATAGTTACCAGAAAAAAGCAGCCTGGGCCTTTTATGTTTCATGTCAATTTACTAACAGAAAACTTACCCTTTTTATCTAAAGTGTGTTCTGTTTACGATAATAATTTTGCCTATAAAGTCAGTTTGCTAGTTTTGTTAAAAAGTAGAAAAATAGACCATAAATTTATGTCAAAAATTGATGTCCCTATTATATGTGAGTGTAGTGGGGATGGGGAGCAGTGACTGATGTTGTGAAGGCGGAGAAATGAGGAGGAAGGCCTAGCAGGTGAATTGTATTGAGAGACTGACCACAGATTTGGCATGCAGCTATCATTTCTATAGAGTCTATGAAGAGCCTAAGACCTAGCAGCACAGGATGTCAGCAGCCAGCAGGTCTAGAAAGGAGAGTTCCACTCAGATAGGTGGGCAGAGGAAACGTGGCACAAAGAACTCAAGGGAAATATAATATGCACACTCGGTGTACGTAAGGCAGGTAGCCTGAACTGAACACCAGGACCACGTTCATACAACTTGCCAGAAACACAGTGAATTCCCAAGAATAATGGAGTATGTAGCTTAAGGACTTTATAAACAAAAGGTGTGCCATGTGAACTTGCAAAGATGAAAAGGTTACCAGAGAATATATGTGGATCCCTTTTCACTATCCAGAAAGCAAACTGGATAGAGATTTAACGCTAGTCAACTGAAAGAGTACCCAACCTCTGGCTTTGATTCCCAGGGCTCCCTGAGTTCATTTTCTTTAATTATGTTGTATTTGCTAGTGTTCCAAAAGGAGTCATCTTAGGACTTGAGAACGTTTGGACCTGCATAGTCTGTTGGAGTTTCTCACATCCTGTTAGTTGTTGCGCCCAGGTTGTTCAGAAATCCACATGCACATGATGGACAGTGCACCCAAAGTGGTTTTTGGGTTGTCCATCCATTGTTTCCTCTGTGGGGAGATGGAATTGGAATGTAGGATTTCCCACAAGCAGCAGCCATGCCAGGGTGGCCTCATTATACCTATTTGCAATCTAATTTCCACCTGCCTGGGAAGAGCCTCCTGGCCACAGACAGTGGCACTAGAATAAAGATTTGAGACTTACCTTGACTGGCCAAACCAACTTGTTGGTTTTATTCTGCTGACATTTAGTAGTTGAGCATTTCCCAGATGCCGATCATGGACCATTAGAACTGGACAGAGGAACGGAAAACAGATTCCATGGCAAATAAACTTTTGGGAATTGCAGCATTCTTGATCCACTCCTTTTTGGAGTTCTGCAATGTCCAGGAACATAAGGCTCCAAATAGCCCATTGATAAGGACCCTTGCTTTATTGTACCCCACTCACAATGGACCCAAATCCATTGGCCTTGGATCTCCTTTAACACCTACTGACATTCCTTAGAATTCAGTATTAAAGAGATCCAGTTCTAGGCAGATGCTGAGAGGGGTCATTGACTGACACGATGGATAAAACAAACAGAAACAGATTTGTCCCTGTTCCTAGCTGAGCTAAGAATTTTTTACATTTGCTCTGTGTGGCCTGGTTCTTTATCAGCTTGCTTTTCAGGCTTATTTGAAAAGTCTTTGAAGGATTGGTCAAATCCCTCATTAGCTGCTTAGTTTTAGAACTGAATTGTAATCAATCTGGTCTAATTGTGAAGAAACCAATGTGATATAGAAACTATTTTGAGGGAAAGCAGTTCTTTTAAACTTTAGGAATACATTTGGCAAAGACACTCAGCTGACCAAGCTATTTTTGGCTTGAATCATCTGTAAAGAATATAGCTGTTGTATATACTTGATTGCTTTAAGAGTATGATTCTCCTGAGAGGTTGTTGGCTGTGTTACTTAGCAGTCTTTTTAACAGCTCAGAGATAACTGTCGAATGGCAATCTCTTATTATATCTGAATCATGATATGCCATTGATTTGAAACAGCACAGTGAAACAATTTCTAAAACATTTCCTCTCAAGAATAAAAGCATTTAGGTCTTGGAGAGATGGCTCAGCATTTAAGAGCACTGGCTGTTCTTGCAGAAGACTCAGGTTCAAATCCTAGCACCCACATGGAGAGGTAACAACTGTAACTCCAGTTCCAGGGGATCCAACACCCTCTTCTGTCCTCCGTGGGCACTGCATTGCATAGGTGCACTTACATACATGTAGGCATAACACACTCATGCACATAAAAATAAATTTTAAAAAAATTAAAAAAGAATAAAGGCATTTGAAAACACTGCTGGAGAATCTTCTATTCCAGTAATATTTTTAAGTTTCTCTATAATTGAGTAGCATGGCTTGTTTTCATCCACAGAGGCCAGCAAGCTTGTTATGTCCTATGTTGCAGCAGTGTGTGGAAAAGGAGCAGAAGTTAATCAAGTCAAGGAACAGCTTCTACAGTCCAACCCTGTCCTGGAAGGTAAGATTTTGTGTGTGTGTGTGTGTGTGTGTGTGTGTGTGTGTGTGTGTGTTAGGTCATTGTAATTCAAATATTAGATTCTATCTTCTGGGCATTTCAAGTACCTGGCCTGAGGAAGGCAAGAAGAAGTGATTCTAGCCAAAAACAGTTGAACAAATAAGCTGCATCTTAGGAATACTTGGCTTCAAGTACTTGAAGGAGGGGATAACTTACTCCTGGAGAAAGAACTTTCCCACTTAAAATAATTTTTCCCTAGCCAGACCTGGTGGTACATGCCTTTAATCCCAGCACTCAGGAGGCAGAGGCAGGCAGATCTCTCTGAGTTCAAGGTCAGCCTAGTCTACATAATGAGTTCTAGGCCAGCTGGGGCTAAAGAACCAAACAAACAAACAAACAAAAAAAAAAACATTTTTCCCTGCTCAATTTTTCACTTGAATTACTTCAATTTTGCCTTTTAAAAATCAACTGATATTTGCAGTTGATGGTGCAGTGCTGTTTTATCAGTCCTCATAAGTCCTGTGGCTGGTTATTTCTGCTGTCAGGGAATTGAGGGCTATAGAAAGCCTAATCCTGGGTATAGGTACAGCTCCAAGCTCTGTTGCTAGCTCCAGGGTTGCTAGCTCACATTCTTTGGAAGCTAGATCCAAGATCACAATCTTGGCAAGGTGGGTTTGATTCGGAGGCCTTCTGTCATCTAGTAGGTGACTGACACCATGGTGTGTGCTCATATGAATGAGAGAACAAGAATTAGCTCCGTGGTGTCCTTTGTTATAAGGCACTAATGTCACCATGAGAGCTCTACTTTTATAGCCCCTTGCCTGGCCCTGATTACCTCCTAAAGGTCTTGCCTCTCAGTTCTTTCATATCACATTGAGGCTTAGAACTTCAGTCTATGAATGGGAATTCGGAGGCAAAAACTTTTGACCAGTAGCACCACCGGAGAAGGAATCTAGGGATGAGTCCTCTTCATTGCATGGAACATGGCATCTCCCTTTGGCATAAACCATCCTTCATTAAAACATGGAAGTTGTCATATAGCTGTTGGGGCTACAGCAGGGTTTCTTAACCTTGGCACTATTGGACTACATGTGTCTTTGTTGTGAAGGCCTGTCCTCTACACCATAGGCTGGCCTATCCTGTGTGTCTGTGGCCTTCACTTGCCAGGGTCCATGTGCCGCCTCTTCCTAGTTATCAGGACCCAAAATGTCTCCATTTATTGCCCTGAAGAGTCACAATCACACTTTGTTAGAATTTGGGTAAAGGAATAGTTTGGCTCAACCTTGGAAGGAGGAGATTGAACATGGACCAAAGGAAAGCTGTTCTGGGGTAGGTGGGCATCCTCCTGCCTTGTTGTCCTTTATACTCACCTCAGCTCCTCCTTCCCTTTTGGAAATGTTCCTGAACCCTGAGCGTACGTTCTGCCCCTGAAACATACTTCCATTCCTCAGAGGAGACACCATGCTTACTGTCCCTGGGTAGGAAGACAGGAGACATGAAGCCCAAATAAGCTATGACAGTTTCCCTCTTTCCCTCTTCGGTGCCTTAGTTAGTAATGAGTCTATAAAAAGTAGCATTTTATGGTTCCAAGATTTTGGATGTTCTGCTTCCTGCAGCTTCCTTTTAGCGTGCTCTGCATGTGCTGTGTTTCTGTACATGCTTATTTTAAGAATGCTGTGATCTAAAGCAGCAGTGCTGTGGAATGCTGTCGTTTGCATCTGTGACTAGAATCTGTCTTTTTATTTGGTGGTATTTGAAATTAGACTGCAGTGCAGGAAATGGAAGAAATGTCCACTGTGGGCATGTATTATCTTTTATGGGAATGCTTTGCTTTTTAACTGGAGCTGCTACTGTAAATGAACATTTAGAACAATGAACTTAAAAAAAACAATCGCGGAATGTGTCTCGAGTGTTCTATAATGGAACACTTGTTTTTTATTCTGAGGCTTGCAGTAAAAGACTTTAGTGTTTAGGGCTATGTTTAGTAATGTGCAACTCAGATTTGTTTGATGAAAAGATGGTTTATGGCTTCCAAGTGGTACTCTGAATCGTGTTCTTCTACAGCAATTCCTTCATTTGCCCCTGACCTTCAAGCCACAATGGATTGTTCTTTATGTGCCAGGATCTTGAGCTAGGCTTTGGGCCTCACTAATTAGGTACCTCACAGGGCTACATGTCATACCTGCCTCAAAAGAATAGCCCATGAAAGCATGAGAAATGTCAGAGTTTAGTGGTGACCAGGTATCTACCATCATCAAAGTTGCATTCATGGAAGCCTTTTGGCTGGCAGCAGACATGTGGTAAGGACAGGATCCTTCTCAGCAGGCTTCCTTTTTTGAGTATTTCCAGCATGCAGGATACAGTATGTTACTTCTATCTTCCTTTGAAGTGAAAATTTGGTGTCAGGGACTAACCAAATCCTACTTGGCCTGAGCATCTCTAACACAAGGAACCATCTCTGTTAGCTTTGTAAATTTTGTATTCATCTATCCTATAAAAAAACATAAAACAAGGCTGGCAAGCTGGCACAGTGTTTAAAGGTGCTTGCTACTAGGACTGATGATCTGAATTCAAGCCCCAGGATTCACATGGTAGAGGGGGAGAACGAATTCGAAGTTATCTTTGACTCTCACAAGTACATGTAGCACATACATTCCCCCCATAAGTGAGTGAGTGAGTGAGTGACTGAATGAATGAATGAATGAATGAATAGAGAAAAGTAAAAAATATTTAAAATATAGACATTAAACAGCTGCCTAATGTGAAATATCACTCATTAGGTTTGGCTGCTGAAGAGCCAACATTGGCTTCTACCTGAACAAAACTCTCCCTTTCCTTGATAGTTAACCAGATTCCAGTGGAAGGACCCAAACTAAAGGACATTTGGGAACACAAATTGGGCTCTATAGGATATATA